CGCAGAGCCCTGGGCATCAGCAGCGTCTTCCTCCAGGGTCTGCGCAGCTCCTCCGCCGCCGTGCCCCTGGCCGCAAGGCTGGAGAAGGGCAAGGGTCTCTCCTACGAGAGCCTGAACAGCTGCTTGGTGGAGTACATCGAGAAGGTGCGAGCTCTCGAGCAGGTCAACCAGGAGCTGGAGGAGCACATCAGGGTCTACCTGGACAAGAAAGCGGCCAGTGTGAGCAGCTGGGGAGCGCTGCGGGAGAGCTGGGAGGCGACCTACCGTCAGGTGAGCGGCGGAGGCTGCGGAGACGCGGGGAGCTTCACGAGTCGCTAGCAGCCCTGAGCGGCGAGGGTTGATGCCGGTGAAGAATGCTGCCCGATTTCAAGGCGCGGTACCCTAGACGGAGGGTTTTAAATCTGTCTTTGTGATAATTAGCATCATCATTTCACAGTGTGTTGTGGAGATGCCTATTAAGCAGGAGAATTGCTTCAGGCATCCCGCGCATGGGGCCGATTGAAATGCAACCCAAGGCGCGATAGTCTGAGCTGATTGAAATGGGTGGGTTTTTTATTTCTTTTTCTTAGCTCTGGTTATTACACTGAGCATCAAAATTATTAAAAGAAAACTGCTAGGACTGAATTAGTTTATCCCTCCACTTGATATCATTACAAGCATATTGTTTTTTTTTTAATTAGCAATTCAGATTTTTTGTTTTATTCCCTTGTTTGTTTAATCACATTTTCAAAACCTCTGTTTATTTAAAAGTAATAAGTACATGCCTACGGCTGAGTGGCTCCTTTCCTCCCCTTTGTCACCAGCCCACAATCCCTTACACCCACCTTCTCCATTCAGCACAGGCTGCGGGTTCTCTGGGAAAGTGGTCACCGGGACGGGGTGCGAAATGGTGTTTGCTTTGCCCTCGTGGGCAAAAAACAGTTCCTTTTGCGGACCAGTAAGACCAGTAAGATTTTGCAGGCTGATGTCCTGCTTGCAGCAAACACAGGGTTCTGTCCCCCGAGGTCTCAGTGCACCTCGTGAGCCCCGGCTTCTCAACTCCCAGCCAGCGGGAGCAGAGGGGACCCTGAAGAGCTGGAGCCCAGCATCTTGCACATCTCCTCCTGGCAGCGCTTGCGCGGGCGCAGAAAATCCCGTCGGCAGGTCGGCAGAAAGCCTGAAAGCCAGTTTTAAGTTCCCCGAGACAATTCTGTGTTTTACCTTGAGCTGGCCAGAGTTTTACCTCTGGCATAGGAAAGAGGGTGCATTTTTTCAGCCCACTGCGTTTTTAGGGCAGGTCTTCACCCGGAATGCTACAAGTGTGGTCTGAACCCTGAATGCAGCGGCATAAACTCCTGCACAAAGATGATGTCAGCAGAAACGCTCCGTTAAGCACTGGCTTTTAAAGTTATCTTTTTTTGTATTGGTAAATGACATTGCTGCCAGCTAATCCTATAAAGTTTCCTGAAGGGACTGGCTGCTGAAGGCAATGGGTGCTCTGAATCTGGGGTGCTTACAAACAGCGATACCCTCGAACCTATCATCTCGCTGTGGTTTATGGGGACTTTGATGTGAGATGGGGGGGTTAGTACTTTGCAGCCGCCATCCCGTGTTTTCCAGGCAAGTGTCCCATTTTGCAGCTGTAGGCCTCGCCCGTAAAACCTACTGGGGCTTACAGTTAAGACCAGAAAGGTAGGACCATAGGTACTTAGGAAGGACTGATTGATTTTTATTTATATGAAACTCCAACACTGTAGTGCAGATGAACCTACTCACATCATAATTTTTCATCCAAATTGCTTTCCTTTTAAGCTTTCTTTGTATTGTCATCCTGCCACTTTGCCTCTACCTCCCTTTCTTGTGGGTAAATAAGAGCAGCTCATAATGGAATCTAGCTTGAATACTGGGCTCCTTCTATACAAATCAGAAAAATAAAGCTATGTAGTAATAGCGTTTGCAAATAACACAGAAAATAAGAGAAAAAGGTTAGTATCATCCATATCTATTTAATCATTCTATTTAATCATTAAAACATATTAGACAATACATTAAGTTTTCCAAATTACTTCAATTAAATCAATAAAAGAGGCATCATTTAGTGGGTTTTGACCTTCTCAGACATAATCTGAGTTGTTATGTACAATTCTGACTAACAGGTTTCTTCGTTTTTTTATATTAAGCATCTGACCAAAAATGGAAGTAGGACCTCATCCAGCCCAAACACCAATTAACTCATTCATCCTGGAGCTAATTGGCAATGGTATGCCAGCATCAACACCAAAACTGTCACATTTATCAAAACAACATCAGAATCAGTTGCCACGGAAACGGCTGCAACCACCTGAAGTCAGTACCCTCCTGCCACAATGTGTCCCAGTGGGAAAAGTAAAAGGTGTTCAGGAGCGAGATGTAACAGAAATGAGAGAGACCCATGAGATACATTTCTAGATGTAACTTTTGTAAATGTATTTAGATTTTTCTGCAGATGTCCACATCCGCCTTAATGTGACATACCCTTTTCTCAGCCTCCTGCAAAAACTGAGGATTCATTTTGATTCCTGGCCAGCCCCATGCGCTCAGCCAGGAGGGATGCCTGGCAGCCATAAAACCCCTTGATGCCCTTAGCATGAAGCAGCTGTGAAAGTCTTGGGGCGGAAAGCTGCCTGAGCAGCCACCTGTTTTAACCTCAATGCCTACGATAGGAACAGATTTTGAACAAAAAGCAGCAAAGAAAAATAAACGCAATTGGAAGAGGGGTCTAGGCAGGAGCCCCCTCCTCCTGCCCCGCTAGTGAGAAGACAAGGGGGATTCTCCTGGTCCCAAAATCAGAAATGCGATGGGCCCATCTCCGCAGTGGGGTAGGAGAGACCCCCCATGGACCGGAGGTCCCATTCTCCTCCCCCGCTTCCCATGCTGGGATGTGCTCCCAATTTCAGATAGTTGTCCTCCCAGCAATAACAACTGGGTGCCAGCATTTCTCCCAAACACAGAGCTAGGGGAAAAAATGTGGCAACGAGTGACTCAGAGGGTATGAGAGGAGGGTCCCTCAGAGGGAAAAAACCTCCTGTTTCATTGCAACTGTCAGAGCTATTACTGCAGCAGGGGATCACTGACAGGAGCTGGGAATGGGGGGAAGCCACTGTCTTGCTCATGGTGTTAATTATCCACCTGGGCAGCTGGCTTTTAGCAGAGCAGGTGGACACAGACTAATTGGGACAAGCACAAAATGGGAGGGTTTTTGCAGGAAACAAGGGAAATGAGAAATCCTTGAGGAGAGGAATTCATGTGACAGAAATACAAATTCATCTCATTTCACCCCAGGTGTACTCCTTTTCTCTGGGCTTCATCCTGATCTTGTGGAAAATTCTATCTCTAATCAAATGTGTCTCTTCTGCAGAACAGGAGGTTGTTTGTAATGGTAATTCCTTCCCAGGGAGCAGGGCAGCACCTGGGAAAAGTGGATGCTTGAAATAATCTCAGCGAGTTTACGGAGAGGAGAGGGTAGCTCAGCCTCCGTGACCATTCCGTTACGGCTGCGTGGGAGACACAGAGATTTATTTTGTCTATGAGATGGCATGTAGCACAGCTCAGATCACAGGAGTAAACACAGAGGCAGAAGGAGGAATCAACGTCCTAGACCAATTTTATCACTGCTGTGCCTCCCGTGCATGGCTGGGAGCATTTGAAAGATCACCAGAGTTTTGCTAGAGAGATACTTCCATTTGCACCTGGCATTACTGTCAGCGCTTTCTTAGTGTTCATCTTCAGCCTAGAGAATACACAGGACTGATGGTCTGAGGAATTGCCTCATTTGGACTTGCACTCAGTGATTTATTTGCTGTGGGGCCAGAAAAGCCACCGAGTATTATCTGTAACACACTCTGACACAACGCAGTGCATGATTAGTGTCTGTAAATTGGTGAAATAGCCTTCTGCCACTGATCTCAGGGCACAACAAACCCACAAAATGGCACAGAGCTTGGTCAATCGCCACACAGAGGATGGCAATAAATTAGTTTTAATTATGTCCTCTCAGCCACCTCCAACAGTGGAACCTTGGAGGGGTGAAGTTTTCTCCTTGTGCTTGGGCAACATTACAGTTTTTACAGATCGTTTCTTCAGGAGGTGTCTCCTGCTTTGAGAACCAGGCATTCTTTGATGCAGTCCTGTTTACTTACAAGATATTCAATGCATAAATGAAGTCTTTTTTTCCTGGATGCAATGACCTTTCCCAAGGTGATGCAACAAATGCCACTCTTGCTGGCTTTGGGTTCTCCTCCTTCAGCCTCTGAGAAGGCGTTCAACAAGGAAGCACGACTAAAAGCGTTACGAGCTCACTGTTTGGCATCTGAGCAGCAGGCACTGGCTTGCATGCTTTTAGCCTGATGTAGCTGTGAATAAAAATGGGTTGGAAGCAATGGGTTGATATCAACCATTTCCTTCTCTGTGTGGAAGGAAAGACTAGACCGGCATCTTCTGATCATTTTCCACGGAGGCATCGTTTGCTTTAACTGAAGTGAACTTAAAAGCCAGATAATTTTCCATTACATGCATAATTAAACCATGAGATTCATTATCACAGGCCACAGCTGAGGCCACAAATTTAGCAGCATCCAAAAGGATTTAGTCATTTGTAAGAACAGCAAAACTATACAAAGCTATCGATAAAGCATAGTTAAGAATTTGAAAGGCATAGTAAATCTTGCAATGCCAAATTTGGTCAGATCTCTGTTAAAAATCAAAAGTGGCCAGTCACCAGGGATACGTTCCGCCTGTAAGTGTCCGTTCCACATCACCCTTTATCAACACTGGAGTCTGCGGACTCCCTTGAAGCAGCTGGTTTGCCTTGTTGCCAGTCATAACCCGGTAAACGGGCCAGCACGTTGATGCAGATTTTGATAAGATTTTTTTCTAAAAATTAAAATTGCGTTTTCATGTCCATAAAATCACAGCAAAATCAAATAAAATTGTTGCTGCTTTCTAGTTAAGATGTCTTATTACACAAATATTCAGTGTTAATTCAAGAGCTGAAAAAAAGTCATGTTCAAAAGGTGTATGTGTATCACAGATGCGAGTGTTGAAAGACGATACATAACTTCAAGGAGCTATTATTAGTAGCAATATTTGCATTTTGATAACACTTCCCATCTTGGCTGTTTAAATGCCAAACAAGCATCTGTGAATTAAGCCTCCCAGAAGCCCAGCGAGGCAGGGCAGTGTTGCCTGCTGCTTTACAAGCGGAGGAGGCAGTGTCCAAGTGCTTGCAGCACTGCAAGCCCTCTCATTTCCAACGGACACAAAGAAGGGTGTTTCCTAAACTGCTGCATCATGCGTTTTAGTACGTGCCTCAGCAAAGTGGCTATGAATCCGTCTCACTAATGTGCATGTTTGGATCCAGCTGTTGATTATTAGGAGAATTAAATCAAACAACAGAGCCACTAGATGGAAGTCTTACATCTCTTCTTCTCAAGCCTAGAAAAGAGGTTTCACAGCTCATGCAAATCAGGGAGAATCTTTCAGGAAACCTGGTTTCTACATAGAAACTAGCATGTAATTACTTATCCTTCAGGTTCAATGTTGGATTTAAAGTGTACACAGCTGATTTCCAGGAGGACTGAAAGGCTAATTCCTTCTGGCTCCCACTACAACATTCATCCCTGAAGCCTTTCAAGCATTAGACTTTTTTACACCATTGTTACTTACATGGCACAGTTCAGGTTTGTGTGCAGTTTGGGAAAGCCCTGGACTTTCTCACTCAACATTTGGCATTAGCTGCCGGCCTGTGAAGTGGGGAGTCAGGTATTCACAGAGTCCTCAGGAGTATGATACCAGGGCTCTGGTAGAGACATCCACTTGTGTGGCAGGTAAGAAGCTACCTCAAATGCTTCAGCAAAGCCACAAGATTACTACTGAAAAGTACTTTTAAAAAACAGGTTTCCTCTGCATAGGTGTAGAAATCCAGGCAGTGGAAAATCACCAGCTACTCCCTGCTTCTATTTTTGATGCAGCCCAAAAGCCATTTTACACAGAATTCAGCCCCTAAACATAGCCATTAACATACCTCTGAGTGGCACTGTGCAGCTCACAGGATTTAATGTCTTTCTTTTGTCATCTTTTTTAATATCATGTTTTGCTCATGGGATGTTCCCAGTTCCCTCAAAGACATTCATTTTCATCAGACTTTAGGTCAGTTATTGTAACCGCAGTGGCTCGATGCTGGCGGCAAATGGCCTTGCTTTTACAGGGCAGGGTAGATCATGGGGCAGCATTTCTGCTCCCTGATTTGAGACAGAAAAAAATAAAAGCTTCTCTGACTATCCATACATTTATGAGCTGGCAGAAAGACCAAATAATTTCTGTAGGAAAAAAGGAAAAAAAAAAAAAGAAGGAAAAAAAACCCAACCAAAAATTCAGAGCTTGGATCAAAAAACTGCCTCTACCTCCATGCTGCTGCCATGTAAAACCTAAATGTCTTTTCTCCATCTTTCAGGAGAAACTCAGGTCTTCTGGTGCAAGGGGACCCAAGAACAGCAGAGCAGCATGGCCCCAAAGTCCCGGCTCTCCCCAGCCACTCTGAAATGCCACAGAAGGGATGACCTGGGGGCTGGGGAGTTAGGCCAGTGCTGGTAAAGTGTGGTTGCAAAAAAGCAGAGAGAAGGAAAAAAGGGGTTGAAAAATGAAGACAGCCAGTTCTGCGTGGAACAGAGCGCATAAAAGTCTTCTGTACTTTTGTACTGCATGGCGGGGCTGCCTGGTGTGCCATCAGATACCAGCTCTTTGCCCACACCTGTGGCTTTTGTAGCATCTCTGACTCCTGCACATTCACTGCGTGCTCTGATTTTCTCATGACTAAACTGGGGCTTTTTTGCCCAGTGGCAGCATTCACAGGACCTCTCTCTTCTGTCTGCATGCTATTTTCATGAAGCATGTTAGAACTACGTGTCTCTGAGATGGCCTATTACTGTGTCATATCGGTTGGAATTGGCCAAGATATCCCACAGCTATTAAAGAAAAATTGGCCACCCGTTCAATGGCATGAGCAGTGTTTCCTCTGGAAGCCAAGCCAAGCTGGAGCTGGCAGGAACAGGGCTCCAGCCCCAGGCTTCCAGCCACAGCCACCTTCTCTTTTTGTTCGTAACAGTAGGTGAGAAGTAAGCAAACCACTTGTTGTAACTCTCGTGCCTCCTCAGATCTTAAAAAATGTAGAGTGCTTTTAAATTCATGATCCATTATGGACCTCTCAATGTGGGGAATAGGTTATTCCTCCAGATCTCTCCTCATCAGATGCCTTCCCATATGTCATAGTTGCTTGTCCAAGCATTTGTAAGACATTTAGAGCAGTAAGACGCTTTTCATGAGGGTGAATGTTAATTACCAAGTAGAAATGCTTCAGCCTTGCATTTCCACCTCCACCCCATCATCAAGCAGGAAGACAAAGAGCAAGTAGGACCACACTAATGCAATGATCCCACTTCTGATACTTGAGATAACTTGTCTGGACACAGCCTTGATGTCTCCACATTGCATGGCCTGTTTCACCTCAGGGGAGCAGAATGCTTTGGGGGATTTGCAATCTCATGTAGTTGCAGACTTAATTATCTAAAGAAAGATTTCTGCTTCAAGAACTCTCCTAGCCTGCTTAACAGCTGCTCTTCTTCATGTGGTGGCTTAGTTTCAACTGCAAATCTCCATGCGTATCTCCTGAAAAAGACCAAAGAGATGTTCAGTTTTGCTCCTCCAGAGCGATGGCATGGACCATAGGATGGCTGGAGTCCCCAGACAGTTGTTTGCAGGGATGATCGCTCTAAGCCTGCTACCAAATTCAGCATGTCTTCAGTCACCTCCACAGCTCACTGCACGTGTGACTCCAGGGCAGGCAGTGGTCTTTTTTACCTTTTTATCATTTTATATAACTCTCTTGAATCACAACAGGCTGCTACGTCACAACCCTTTCAGGTTTGCTTACCCCTGCAGTACCTCCTGGGTATTAAAGATGTCCCCCAGAGCCATAGCAATGATACCACAGTCTTGTTTGCACAATCTTTCCAAAGCATTTCACATTCGGTGTAATAATCTTTGAAGACTGCCTGCTCCTCAGGTCTCGTATCTATCGCAAGAGCTTACAGGACGGCTCGCAGGCGGCGTGATCAGCAAGTATACCTTGGCTCAGTGAAGAAGACAGCCCTGAAGAGGACTGCTGATATGGGAAGTAGAATAGGAACTGCATAAGTGCTACTTAAACTGTATCTAGAAAATATAAGTGGGACTTAAATGACGAACATACCTTGCACACAGTAATGAATTTTATGCCTTGCAACCAGCTGACAATTAGAATAAATGTGTTTCCACTAGAGGATGAATGCTTAGGAACAGTGAGCAGTTTGATGATAAATTGCAGCCTATTTGCAGAGAATTTGTGAATTTATACGTACAAAATTAATTGACTAAATTATCTGGTATGAGTCACTTCAAGAGCCCTAGGATAAAGGATTGTTTTCAAAATCAAAGCTATACATCTGCTTAAGGTACCTGTATAGTGCATGCAGCTAATGTGCTGAAGCCTTTCATTGCTTGAGCTCTGTTGTCTTTCTTCTAGGTGGGTGAAGCAGTCCTTGAAAATGCTCGTCTTATGCTGCACACTGAGAACATTCAAGCCTGTGCTGAAGACTTTAAAGACAGGTAGTCTTTTGGTGGCACCTAGCTGGCCACTTTCTCTGAAATGTTGCCTAGGCAAATGCTTACTCTATAGCGGAGTAACGCTTAGTGAGTGGGCTCTTTCTTTTAAGCTGAATATTCAACCACATGACTTGGGAGGGTTTTTGTTACAGCAAAATAATTACGATGCTATCATATTGAAGATTTATAGTAACGAAAATGTGCACTAGCAAAATTACTTAAGCTGTTCTTTGATATACTGACCTTGATCTCCTGTATCAGTATTCATTCAAATTTAGGTTATCATTTTATAAAGGCGAACATTCATGTGATTATTAGTTTTAATTTGCAGTGCCACACAAGTGGTTTTGGAAGTACAAATCATTCTGCTGCAGCAGCTGAAAAGCAAAAACTGTACCACTATAAACGTCAGTGTGGAAACATTAGACATGAAAACAGAAATGGGCTGCACTGATTTTCCTTGTCTTTTCTGAGAGAAATGAATAGAAAAAGAAGATCTTAAATACTGACAAACTGACTTTTTTAACCTCTTTCTGTTTGCAAAGCCTAATATTCATGTACATGAGTGCATGAAGCTCTTCAAATTTTACTCAGAAGGCCTGATGATCCCTCTAGCTTTTATTGGTAATGGACTTGTTAATTTACAAGCAGCTTTTTGCAAGATCTAACACACAAACTGTATCTCAAATTAATTGATTTTTATTTCTAATAATTTTTATCATCCTTTAAACTTCTGTCTCTCTCTAGTATTATTTTATGTAATCATATTAAAATGTGTGTTAAACATGTTCTTAGGTTTGCCTTTTATTTCAGAAAGGTACAACACTGAGCTACTCATTTTACGGCTTTACATCCAGCAAGCTACACTCGTATTTTAAGTAGTTTTAAAAAATACTTTTTTAAAATGTCAGCTGACTTGGACAAGCAGTCTACATAACAAAAACAATGTCAAATCAATCCACTGCATAGTAAAAGCTCCTAATTCTCCCTGGGATCAGCTGCCACTTTCCCAAGCTGTTGAATTCCCAGCAACACAGGTGACTCTCAAGGGGCAGAGTGAAGGACTTGTCTATGAAGCTGGCTCCTGTCTCACCTGCCAACCCCCTGTCTACCCTCCCTGGCCACCAAGTCCCCAGGCTGGCTGGGTTTGACACAAAAGCCTCCCACCTGAGAAGATTCACCATGCAACCCTGCCACATTTTCAATGGAAAGCCTAAAATGAAAAGGTACGAACAAAAGTGATGCAGCAAGCAGTGCTGTAGACTAGCAACTGCATGCCACAATTTTCCCTCCTGTTGCAGCCACGGTTTAGAAATGAGCCACTTGCTTCAACAGCAATTCTAGCTGACAAACCAACCACTCAAATTGCCTCTTTGTTTTGATACTACTAGGATTTGGTCTTAAGGATGGGCTGGGACCCTGGAGCATACACCAGACTTCCATCAGCACGTGCGTTAGTAAAAGTAATGCTTGATACACGCCTGTTGTCTTTAACCGTAGCTCTGAAAAGTTTTTCTGTAGATGAACAAGCAGTTATTCTCATTTTACAGCCAAGCAAACAGACAAAAAGCCACCCATAGTCATACTGTGTATAAATACCAGATCTAGGAAGAGACCACGTGCCTCTCCGTGCTTATTCAGGAATCCTATCAGGCTGATAACCACCATAGCACAGACTGCTAACTTGGCCTCTTTTATTAGACAGTGAGATAATGACAGGGTACTTCAGGCAGTTAAATTCAAGTATATTAAGACAAGGTGAGAGCAAAGTATATCTTCTGTGTTTCTGTGCCTCTGTCTGGGACACATGAACTAATTAGCATAACGGATGTCATTTAAAAAAAAGCTGCTTTTTCTTGCTGAGCTGTGCTGTATTAAGGTTTGGGGTGTTTTTTTCTTTGCAGGTATGAAAATGAACAACCATTCAGAAAGGCAGTGGAAGATGAAATTAATTCCCTATATAAAGTGATTGACGATGCTCATTTAACTAAAATGGATCTGGAGAGTCAGATAGAGAGCATGAAAGAAGAACTAACTTTGCTGTCAAAGACACATGAAGAAGTAAGTCAAGACTCGGGACACTGCAAAGCCAATGTGTGCCTGTTTCATCTGGCTGGTGTCACACACCTCGTGCAAAGCCAGCACTAAAAAGCTCCACCTGCCATGCCTGGGTGGGGGGATTCTTCTGAAACCTGCTCCTAATTCTCTCTTCGCTGTTAACTTAAAGCACTAACCTCTGAGGCATGATCAAATCACTTACATGTAAGTTTTAACTCATCCTCATCTGATAAGTATGGGATGGAAGGGATGCCATCACTTCATTACTTGCTAACCACCACACGATGGTCACGGGGTTGCAGTCACACACATGGACATCTCAATAGTGAGGTCTGATTCTCAGCCAGAGATGTAAAGACAAAATGCCTGTGCAGGGAACAAGGTCTGGTCCTACTGCGCTAACACTGAGTATTAACCAGGCTCTTCTGAAATACTCGTGCCTGGCTTAGCAAGCTGCTCGGTTCCCGAAACCGAGTCTCTCCTGAGCAATGCACCACTGAATAAAGTCATAGGGACACACAGCTGGAAGGGAAGTCCATTACTGCCCACTTTTGCAATACTTTCCCACTTACTCATTACATTCACCAGCACCATTTCCAGGAATGTGTTTTATACCCTTCAGCAGGAGTTTCAGGATCGGACCCAAATCAGTGTCTTTACTGATGGGGGCTCGAATATGGAGCTACTGCTAATCCTACATAAGGGACGGCAAGCAATTGTGCTGATGCTCCAGAAGTAAGAGAGCTTGAATTGAGATGGCTCACGGAAGCAAGGCACTATCCTGCCTTACATTTCTTATGGGTTATTTCTCCAGCCACAAGATCTCAGCAACATTGGCAGGCATAGGCAGACTTAGCTTGCCAAAATGAGGTTGCTTCATCCCCTCCCTTCTTTCATGAGTCTAATTCCAAGGCTGGCATTTTGCAGAAAAAATATCAGTGGCTTCAACACCACTGCACAGCATGAGAAAGATGGAAGTTGTTTTAGATAAGAGGGAAAACAGAAAATTGATAGAAATACACAAGACCCCTTTAAACCTCTGTGTGATTGCTATGAAACCAGAAAAGTTGGCACTGATGCTGTTCTCTGCCCATATATATGGCATAACGAGAATAACAGCTTTCCAACAGCTCCTCTCGCTCTGCATTTAGCCAGCGAGGAGCCCTTGCAGGGTGGAAAGATGCATCTTTCTTTACCTGCTGGGAGTACCCGAGCATTTGCAGAACCACCCCAGCCCAGACCTGGTTTTCCCATGGCAGCAGCACCAGAAGAAGCTGTTCAAGAGAAGTCACAGAATAAAGGCTGGAAGAAACTATTGCAATTATTCCGGCTGAGCTCTTGCACAATAAAGTCCCAAGGACTTTCCTGAACTAATTCAAATCTTTCTTTCCTCCAGTGCCCCACTAGGAAATCCATGTCAAGCCCTTTCGAACATTTTGTGCACTTGGAGTGGCCACATTTTGAGACTTTCATTCTTGCAGGTTCATAATTCACATATACTTGCCCATCCTTTTTTTTCCAGTAGCGTCACTGTCAGGGGCTACTGCCTACAAATACAATTCCCAGATGCTTTTACACCACTTTCTTTTGCTGATGTCAGTAGCACATATAAACAGAATGATGTAAAAGGATTGTGCTACCAGAGAGTTCAGATACACGTGAAAATCTTTTTTATTCTTGTGTTCCTGAGCACAATGTATAACTGACGTGCTACCTTTAAGCGTGCCATTCTAGACACACTAATTCTCTCCTGCTTACATTCTTTTTGGAGCACTTGTATGTAAAGAGGGAACAGAATGCTGTCACAGGAAAGGAGAGTGCTCTTCATTTAACATGCAGATACACAAAAGCACACGTGGCTCATACAAGCCGTGAGGCTGTAGAGCTCTTGCTGTTTTGCACAACTTGTTGTATCTCCCCGTAGATGCACGTCTATATTATTACAAGCTGCAATATAGTTATGCTCCTGGGCGTGCAGTGTGTGTGTATGTCAAGCTCTGACTGCTGAAGAAACTTGCCACTGCGAGAGGGCTCCTCCAGGCAGTGCTGTGGTGCAGGGCTTCAGTCTCCTTCCAAGGGGAACTCCAGCAAGACTCCCCATGCAAAAGCCAGGCAAATCCACATCTGAAAAAGAAACGCTCCAGTGCACTAAATCATTCATGTAGAGACACCTTTCGGGACCATTTTTAATTACTCTCTCCATTTGTGGAACCAAAAGAGCTCTTCGTCGAGCCCCTCCAAAGTTACCATTCAGTTGCCCAGTTCACCTTCTTTTATTTTTGTTCAAGGATGTGAAGGTGTTGTACAAGCAGCTTGCTGGATCTCAGCTGGAAGACCTTGATGTTCCCCTGGGAACTGGCCTGGACGACATACTGGAAAAAATCAGAATCCACTGGGAGAGAGACATTGAAAAGAATCGTGCTGAGACAGGTGCTGTGCTCCGTACCAAGGTAAGCACTCTGTGACCCACTCCAACATTACGAGATTCAAAGCAAACACAAGATCTGTCTAATACTCTGCAGTAACTTCAAGGGCTCAGTGTTTGTTTTTATATTAAAACAAAAAAATGGTAAAAATCTAAAGGATTTTGGTCCAAGTCCATTGGAAAATACACTATAAATATCTGTGACTTTCCTTGGATGCACAGAGTTAAGTAGCAGTGGAAGTGACCCTGCTGGTATCATAGGTGTCTGTGGAAGACTTCTAAGGGCTCTGAAATGCTGGCTGAGAAAAACAAACTTTATCAACTGATACCTTCTGTGCTGGATAAGCCACAGTCGTTACCCTTCTTACTAGGGTCTTTCCTCCACTGAACGATTTGCAGGGGTCTTTAAATCAAAAGGGTAAAATATGTTGCTCTGCACTAATTATACAGCTACAGAATCCTTGTGGGTTTCTCCTTGAAGTTATTTCCTCTGGCAGTGGTGGGAAAATTGGATATCAACTTAGAAATGAAAAGTAATTATAATAGCCATTCCCTTTAAAAGTTCTTTCCTCTCCTGATGCTGAGGAAAGCTTGAGTCCATTGGGTTGACCTCTGCACTTTTTTGTCCATAATGCTCAAGACCTTTCCCTGAATTGCCACAAGTGATTTAAACCCTTGTAAGGCATGAAAGCTGTTTGATATTTTCCCCTGAAAAATGCCTTACTTCATGATGTGGTGCTGTCCATTCATGTACTTTGATTCTGCACACCCACCTCTGCTCATTGCTAACCTGTATTGTTTTCTGCCATCCATAAATCCTCCTAGTTCACAATTTATCCACAAGGCGGTAAACCTTGAGGCAACATACTGTTAAACTTCTGTCATAATGAAACTAGACCTTAATCCTCCTCTTCATATCCTGTCTCTTGACCAGCTTTTGATCCATGGCAACGCACTGCCCCAAGCACATGATTACACAGCTTCCTCTGTTGTCCCCTATGCTAAATCGTGTAAAAAGTTTTGAAAAATCTTGTGAATTATGTTAACTGTTTCTCCCTTCTCTGCTGCTTTGCTAACATGTTGCCAGAACTCTCAGGACCTTATCAAAGCCACTTTCCTTCTTCAGATACCATGCTGTTCAGACACATGATGTTGGTGTTCTATCACAAATCATCATTTAACTATCTTGATTCCATGAAAAGCAGACTAATGAGAGATTCTGCACTCTTGCACAACAGCTGGCTCAGAACTGTACAGATGTGCTTGAAATCCACACATTCCCAGAAAACTCCAGCACCAAAATGATAAAGATTTAGGAAGCCAACTTCATCCTCTCTCTCCATTACTCCAGTTGTTTGTAGGCAACACAACTCGGTATAGCCTCTCCTTGTGAAGCGTCTCAGGAATAGGAAGGGCAGAGCCCCCAGAAAACACAAATTGCCTAGTGAAGAGGGCACAAAGACTACTTCTCCACTTCTCTACAGAAAGAACCCCAAAGCTGAGGCCTCCACATGGAATCTTGGGGCAACTCAGCTGGTAATCCTGTAAGGAGGATGGGGAAACCTTGTGTGTACCAAAAGCTTTATAGCTCATTCAGTGTGCACTTTTTTGCTGTGTCATCCTCGGCACCTGATGTGGCCACCTTCATCTACTCCATCTGCCTGTTCTGGTAAAATCAGTTCCAATTCAGAGCATGTTATATCTGCCTGATAAAATATGTACATACCACTAGCGTAAGGTAACTGTGACAGCTTAGGGTAACTCCTGGAGGAGTTTCAACATCACCTGTAGTAAGGGAAAGTCGGATTTATAGGTAGCATTTGGGCCACTAGTGGGGTAACTGTGAATGAGAGATGCCAGGCTTCAGGTAATTGGTGTAGGCTACAAATACAGATGCAAAGGCACCCTACCTGCCCTATGTATCTCTTTAAAAAGAGGCACTTATAGTCCTCATACCACAACAAAGTGCATACTACACTCTCAGCACAACTTAGGGGACACAAATTACTCCAGAGTGGCAGGTCCATGATCACTAGGCTGGGATCACCACGACTAGCTTGGTGGGATTATGTCTCTCTGAAGCACAAGTGTCTATAAAGTATTTCTGGAAAACACAGGCTTTGTGCAATTTGCTGGAAAGGACAGTTTTGGTGTTCGGGTTGAAATTCAGCCCTCTGCAACACGGTTTCATAAATCCTAAGTTCTGTTTGAGACTTAACTGGTACCTAAATGACACATTTGTCTTTGCTGACCTTTTGCACCTGAGATTATTTTATTCACAATGACCAAGCCATGGGGTTCACATGATGGTACCAAAAAAAATTGCAAAATTATTTCTGGTGTATGGTCCCAGATTTTTTAAAAAATTTATCTTACTTTTGAAATAAAAGAATGCATAATCAGAGAAGCAAGACAGGCTCACGATGAATTTTCAGAGTGGAATGGAAGTATTTTGCATAGCTTAACTTTAGCATCAACCAGAAGAAATGTAGGTTTTGGCTGAAGAATTGTATTGCCTAGAGAGCCCAGAGCTCTGGTTTGAAAACCTTGATTTCAGCCCTCATTAAAAAGTATAGAAATTCTATTTTTACTAAGGTACCTTTTCCTTCACCTATTTTCAAGGAGCCTGAACTAAACACATATAAAACCCCACAACCAACAAGAGCAGGAAATTGCATATGAATTATCTTAATTCAATTAACAGAAATTATTTTTCTGACTTCTGTGGTATGATTTGCTCTCCGACTTATAAAATCCTACGTGAAAAATTGAGGTGTGAATACTTCTGAAATCTGATAGACTAAGTGAAAACACTTAACTTTAAAAAAAAAATATTGTAGTATAGCTACAAAATAAAGAATCACAGCAACTTCTCTTTTTATAGGTCATTTTAAACATACTAGTATGAATGCTGAGGGTCTTTTGTTGACATAGATAAAATATATACACTTATACGTATAAGCCATTTTACAGTAAATGCATGGAAAATGTGATAAATTTGACACTAAGAAGTATCCAGAATTGTTCAACTGAGGGATTCAATATACAAGAATTAAACTTACGGTCAGAATTGCCACAAACTGTGAAAATATTAACTGTCAGTTTGGTATGTAAGGAAACTAAACCATAATTTGAATAGGCTGTGATGACAGCTGCAACCTTTTACCAGCAACAGGCTGAAGCGATGGCTGCCGTGCGAACCCAGGAGGAAGAGCTGGTGGAGGGCCTCAGAACTGAGTTCCATGAAACTGCCTGCAAAATACAGAGCCTGCAAGCAGAAACTGAATCTTTGAGAACCTTGGTAAGTCATGTTGGATTTTCAATGGGTATATTCTGTGCAAACTCAACCTGCCTTCTGAGGAAAACATTCCCATCTTGGGATGCAGACTTAAGAATAAATCCCTTTTTCCAGCAGATATTGTTTCCAGAGATGCCAGACATTTCTTGGCTCTTCTTGATTGACGTGGTGTACTGAGCATACCACATTTGACAACCGGGACCCAAATTTCAATCTTCAGTGTCTTCATACTCAGTAATAATCTCACTGAGATTGCTGGGTGGGTAGTACTCAACAATGTGAAGAATCTCTGCACCTTGTAACCAAAGTAGTTCAACATTTGTAATGATAATACACATTTTTCACAGTACTTACATCTCCACGTAAGCATATTCAATAGAGACATTGGCCAAACCTGAATAAAAATCACTATGAAGCATACGAAAACTGACTGTTTTAATCTCTCCTGTCCTGCCCTTACAGAAGAGGGGTCTGGAGAACTCTTTATACGATGCCAAGCACTGGCATGACATCGAACTGCAGAACCTAGGCTCTGTCATTTCCAAGCTGGAGGCAGAGATGGGAGAAATCAAAGGAGAAACCGAGCAGCAGCAGCGGGATCGTGAAAATCTTCTGACCAGCAAACAACAGCTGGAGAAAGACATTGCTGCATACCACTGCCTTCTGGATGAAGAACAAAGCAGGTACTTGTCATTAAAAGCAAGTGTGCCATGAAGATGGAGAACATGTGCTCCCTGGGAAGGGGCTGTGAGGTTGCTGGAAGCAGGACGACTAGGGTGGTTTTCGTGTTTTGTAAGGCTGGGCGGGAGATGGCAAGGTTTGGAGAAGCTGCCAAAGGGGAATAACACCCCAAATCCAGCTGTGCAGAGATTCCTGATGTATTGGACATGAGCAGTTTCCAGCACTGCCATGGAAGGATAAAGTTTAGCAATACACCAGTAGGTCTATGAGTTTCACTTCCCTGAAGATCTGAGAGGTGAGATTAAAAAAGTACTACAGCATCTGGGGGCTACATTAGTGGCTGCAAAGCACCGGTGTTGTTGTTTCTTGCCTTGTCTTACATGATGCCTTCCCTCCTCCTCCCACTATAGAGTCCAAATAGTAAAGCTGTAATCCTGGGGAAGCTCCCTTTCTGAGCACACCAGTTTCCCCCAAAGACAGAGGACAGAATCTGGCTCACTGACTGTGCCTTTTGTGAAGAAACATAGTTCGGACTCTTAACATTTGTCCTCTGGGAATAACCTGTAAATGCCTTTACAGTAGTTGGGTTGCCTGGCTGGGCTTTTCGAAGATCCTTAATCACCTTTAGTCACAGAACCTCTGAGAATCTGATCCATAGATTTTGACTTGCTCTTCTGCTCAGATCAGGATGAAAAAAATCAGATGCGTCGTGAGTGGATGACATTTCACCAGCTGAACTGAGGATAGTACTGGGTTCAGCAATTTTAACACTTGTAGTAGTGACCAAATTTTTTTTTTTTTCCACTTTCAGCTGATTACGAAACTCCCAGCCCACAGAAGACCATTGCCATTAAAGCAAACGAAGATGTCACTGCCAACTATGTCCGTGGAAGCTAAAAACCCATCAAAGCAGCCTGCTTTATTCAGTTTGGTTCAACAATGGAAGTAGGTTGTAGCTTGAACAACTTTATTAGACCCTTCTCATGTAATTGCTTTGCTTACAGATTTCAATTTACTCATGTTGTTAAAATTCTAATAAAAATAAAGTATATCGGGGATTTTGTTTGACTTTTTTTTTTCCAGTATTTTTGATGATAGCTGAAGGGGGTTGGATTAAGAACACAGGCCCTCCACTTTCCAGCAAGTAAACTCTTTCTTTTCTGGTACAAATAGATCAAGACTGAACTACCCCTCCACTGTGCACACAGCATCCTCGTGGAAATGGCGAGTGCTCTCTCGTGTCACGAGACCATCAGCTTGCAGGTTTCAAATCTACTTCAAATAATGTTGAAGCAGTTAAAGTGTGCTATTTACTCGATGCAATTAATTTTGCAATATGCAAGCCAGCATAAGCACTAATGCGAGCATCCCAGCAGTGCTAATAAACACGTTTTAACTCTGGACTAAACTTATGGAATAGAAGGTGAAGGAGAGAAACAGCAGTTCTGTCTGCAGTCCAGGTCACATCCTTTTACTGTATACTGAGAGTCCTAGCCAGGGTGCCAGTTTGTGCAAATGTGATACTTTTTGATATATTGATATATTTTGGTTTTTTATATGCTTGGCTCTTTCTTGGTATCAACATCCCTTAAGGCAGGTTGGCCAAGCTTCTTTTGAGCAGGTACCCACATAGCATCAATGTGTGGGTGACCCTAGGTAGTTACTCTGATGGTATCATGATGAAAAAGATATGCCATCTTTTATTTCTGATTTTCTTTTATATTTACGTACTGATATCCTCATCGTATCACATTTGCAGTATGGTCATACAAAGTGCCAAGATGGATCCCGCACTGTCAGAGAAACATAATGAACCTTAGTCCCTGTCACTCAAAATCTTAGGTAGATGGCTGGCTTTCCTCCACAAGCCCCTGCACAGGAATGAAGCCACCCATACATGTGTTTGTTGGATTAGGACTTTACAATATCGACAGTTACACAGGGTGACAACATAGTTCATGAAGTGGACTCAAAGACTACTGAGAAATGACATATATTAAAGAACATAATGGCATACAGCATATATATGAACCACACGTTCTTGTTCCACCAAAACTTGGATTGTAGGTTCAAATGATCTAGCATATTTAATAAAAATTAAAATAAATACCTACTAAGATTTTTATTCATTGGAATGGAAATAGCTTCTTGCAAAATCATCACGGTATTCCAGTACTGGGAAGTGGCTGGAAAAAAGCGAACATCTCAGCATAAATAATGAATTTCCAGCAGCTTTTCTCTCTATCCCTAGCAAAGACCAAAAGCCACTGGAAAGATTATTTTTGTGACTAGTTCATCAGAAGTCAAATGTAGCACATCTGGTCCTTCTAAAACAAAGCACTTTCACATTAAGTGCTAATGGTCTTGTGAAGAAATTGCTCTCTACTTTTACACAGCTTGCTGCTAGCTACACAGCCCCTCCAGCACGCCTTGCCAGCCTGAATGCTAGCTAAGCATGAACAGTCTTCACCACGTGAGATGGGAAATTGAGAACATGAGAGACAAAACGCTTTCACAACTGTTTGTCAGCACTAAGGTTCATAAATTGATTTACATTTATCCTCTAGTCTAGCAGTTGCTAGATTAAAATACACGTGAACATGTTTCCAACTGGTTTTCCTAAGGAAACCAAAACCAGAAAACAGATTTAATTATCTCTTACTGCAGTATATATCACACCTGTATTTCCATGTAGGGATTTGTACATTTGCTGTTATGAAGACTCACGATGCAGTCAGAGGGTACAGATAATACAATCTAACAGCCAGCTGCTGCATAAAAGGACATTTCTACTCCCTCTCACTTGCTACAAGTTCCCATCGCCCTGTCTTGTGTTAGCACCAACACCTGTCTGATGTCTCGGGAGACAGTTCAGGAAGCAAAATCAGCAGAAAATTAGATTAGCCCTGCAAAACGCAGGGAAACTTTCCTGCCACTCAGCTCCCCGAATCAGGCCACTGCCAGGTCCCACACGTACCAGTAGCAGCACAGGGGTGGGAGGGGGAGAGAAACTAGTCAGCACTGTAAAGCATGGCCACCCCCTTGGCAACAGCTAGTCACTAGGCCGGATTAGCTGTAGCGTCAAACCATGTGCGTACTTTACCCTCCTCCTCAGCCAGGCACGGCTGCTTCTGCGCCACAACTTGAACACATGCTGCTGCATCCTCGGGGGAGGCAGAGGGTGCCAGCCCTACACTAGCCTGTGCTTCATTTCAGATTTCACACTGAGCAGCAGCATACCACACCAGCCAGGAACTGGGACTCCAGCCTATCACGCTACTGTTTACATTTTAGCGTAAGTGTTATTATACCGATTCTATGATTAAAAGATTATTTTTAAGGTGGCTTCAAGCTGACATTGTGTCAAATGTAATACTTCAACAAAACACTATGCACTGCTGCCACCACTGCCTGCTTTCAGATGGCAATTACTGGTGGAGAAATGGGCATGATAAAACTTGTCCCTTCTGGCTGTAGAGGTCTCAAATTACAGCAAACTCTTAGCACCCCAAAGTCCATAGGAAGGTTAAGCTCCTGAAGAGAACCAGGGCCCATGCGGCAGCAAGCACTCCCGCAGAACCCTTCTGCACACCGCTCTGCATCTAGGGGCACCTTCTCCGACGTCCTTAAGCAGGCGTCTGCCTAAGGGTCACCAAATGAAGCGTTCTTCTGCTTGTGCTCTGCAGATGTCAAAGCGGTTGGCAGTGCTATCACCTTCATGTCGCTGAATGGAGATAGGTACGAAGAAGTAAATGGAAATCTGCTCCTAACTCTTGCATCACCCCCCAACTCACTTTGGTTTCTCCACAGGAATAGTGGCTGCTGCATCACTTCCCCTACATGCAGCAGCTCTTCACTCCTCAATCTTTATAAACCGCACCAAGATGCACAGGGAACGGCATCATGGCAAGACTCGTCATAGCTACAGGCTGGAGACGAGAGGTGGACAGGCACCACTGCACGCCATGACGGGCACTGCTTGCGTGGGGGAGGAAGGAGACAAAGTCCTCAGAGTCCTCTAGGTAAATCTGTGCCTGAGCAGAGGCACTCAAACCACTGCGCCTTGCCAAAGGTTGGTCACACAGGTCAGTGACGCACAGTGCAGTAGAAAGCTGTCTGCTGAGCTCATGCGATGCTCACAGTGCAATGTGGCATTCTGGATGTATTCCTTGCATTACACACGTTACTTCTGCCAGTCCATGCCCACAAGCCATTCTTCAGCCAAATGTCCTCTGCGTCAGTATTGAGGATTGTTGAATTTGAGAAAGGAAAAGAAAAAACAGAAACACTGACTTTTTTTCCTGCATCTAACATTTTACACAGCAACAATCATCACCACAAAAGCTAACGCAATGTATTCGCAGAGAACTACAAATGCTGTGCATCAGCACATTTTCAGAATTTTGCATAAAAATAAAACTAGAGGTGGGAGGCAAATCCAAGCAGAACTGCATAACTAATGCTTCCTTTAAAGTGTCAACCGAGACATGCCTTTAGATCTGGATCTAAGCTTTCCGAGGCTTAAAACATTGCTGCTATTTTCCACGGTTTCCACCGAGTCTGTTTCAGATTTAACAGCTGAAATGCTTCTTGGTGCTCTGCTCCTGGCAGGTACTAAGTTTCTAATCCAGAGTCGGTCATTCCAGCCTTACAGCGCGGTGTTTGCAAGGGACAAGTTGATGCAGACTCGAAAAGCAGCAAAAAGGCATCAGGTTCGCATTTTTTTAAGCCCGATACTAGGGGATATCCATTACAATGCAATGAAAATATTTTACCAGCTGCTGCAATTAAAAAGAGCACAGCTTAGAATGGGACACAACACTGTACTTCGCAGCCATTATTAGCTTCTCTACCACAAAAGCTGAGGGATACAAATTGTGTGCTTAGTTGCATATTATTATCAGTGCTGAGCCTGCAAGTCAGGGCACGGTGCAGTGCGGAGGTATATCAGCTTACTGGGCAGCAGGGGAGTACACATGCCAGGGAAGGCAGCGCTTCAACAAAAGGAACATTGAAACAGTCTTCCACGCCCGAGCTATCCTGTGTCACATCTTCCACACGACCTTCTGTCAGCTGAAGGGGACAGTGGGAGTAGGAGGGGAGCCCAGGCGCACCAAGGTGGCACAGCAAATGAGACTCAGCTAACGAATTTGCTTTTGACTTCAGTAATTATTCCTATCACAAAACACAAAGTGTTGTTGACCACGCGGTGTTCTGAGTGTTACCAGGTGAACCATTATGCTTGCAACTTTTAGTTCTCAGGGCCTGCTCCGTATGGGATCAAATCCTGCAAGTGCACAGAATGTCCATGCTGGTAGCAAAATAGAGGGAGAACACAGCATGACAGACGTAAAAAGAGGATTGTAACAAACCTCCCAAAGGCAGAACGCTCAACTACAATGATTCAGTTACTCACTGCTATAAAATGCTTCACAAGGACATAGAGCATTTAACCTCATTCTGCACTATGACAATGGCACCTCCTCTGTTTTTTCAAAGTGACGATTATGGACGGAAAACACTAAATAACGGTATTTTCATGGACACGAACTAAAGAAACTGTCAGACACTCTCCAAAGTTCAGAAAAACCTTTTCATTTATGTTAATACATACATGCATGTAATGATTTCAAAGAAAATATCACAAAGCATAAAATGATACTAAATATATCAGAAATACAAACATGCTTACTTTCTTATTATTCTAGTACAAACCAATGCTTATTTGATGGGTAAGTCTCATTTCAGCTCAGACTTTAGCAGCAGGAACATATATCTCCTTTTGACGGCGGACCAACAATGTCAGTCATCAGAAACAATGTTTCACATTATTATTTATGACTCATGACAGTCTGAGGCTGTTTTTCGAAACGTCCTGCCTCATAACTTTCGAAAAT